AAAAACAATCTGAAAAGAAAAATAAACATATCTCAAAGGATAAGATAACACATTCGCATGCCATTGAGTTGCAAGAAACAAGCATAGCACATTCACGTTCTACAACTAAAATTGATGATGAAAATGATGAAAATGATCCAACGGAAATTAAACCCAACAGCCGTAAATTGACTATTTTGGATAATTTTGGAAATTTTTTAAATCAAAAAAAAAACTCAGATGGTGATGAAATATCGTCAACGCCTCAGGCTGATGATACTCAGTCACGTAGAATTTCACATCAATCACTTAAAAACAATAAAAGGAGTGAACAACGAAGCAGAAATGTTAATGTTGATGCATTAAGAAAGCCAAGGTCTATACAAAGTTTAGATTCAGTCTCTAAATCTAAGGAAAGACGTCATTATAGCCAACATAAATATAGACCTGTACAAATACCAAAGTCTCCTTATTCAACGATACGTCCTCAAAGACATACACTCTCTCCCGCATTTATTCTCAAGGAAAAGAAAAATATATTAAAGTCCGTGTCGATAAATAATTATAATCATAATTTACCAGATTATAATGCAACAAAGGAGAATATTTCAATGTTGGTTCCACATAGTATCTCTGCGATTGAATATGGAAAGGTTAATCATTCTCTTCCAGATTTAGCTATACGTGATCGTCATCATCAATTTAACGAAACATTTTATAAGAATAATATGACCGTGCCGGATTTTACACGAGTTAGTTCTATCACAGAAAATGGCAAGGAAAATGTACAAGAGACTAGCACTATGGATATTTCAGTTGAAAATATAATCGAACCAGTTGATCCCACTGCACCTTCATCTTCCACAAGAATTACTAGATTAACCATCAATCCATTTGATGAATTTGAAAAGAATGAACACTTCTTACCCACAACTCCTTGGATAAAATTACCACATCTCGATGAGTATATTGAATCATTGCCAAAGACTGAATTCTCAAATCCAAAAGAAATCATGACTTCCGAAGAATATGGTAAATTCTTAGCGCAAGGAAATAACCAAAAATTTGCTGAATATTTATTCCCTATCATTAGCCAGTCCACAAATGATCAGAGCGATACGGAATCTATAAGCCAAGGGAAAGGAAATGATGATAACAACAATGGACCTACCGAAAGAGGAATTGTCAGATCTTCGCCTTCTCCTTCTTCAGAAAAATGCCAAGAAGCAGTTTCAATAGTATACGAACAAAGATTTTCGAAATTGGAGATAATGAGAGATTTCATACAATTCATGTCATTAGCCTTATCATTTGTTACGCAAGGAATGTTTAGTCGCAATTGGATTTATATAATGTTATCCTCAGTTCCTGATTTTTTAAGTCTCAAAATGGAAAAAGTATTTGGATTTGGAGCTATTTTCTTTTTGTTATTTTTCGTCATTGGATTTTGTAACTTATATTTGTTCAGAAAGATTGCTAAATGGAAGAAAGCTACTGATGTTGAGGTATTTAAATTTTTTTTATTTTGCTTAATCCTTCTCTATTTCATATTGTAAATTATTTACGTAATAATATATTTCTTAGGATATTGGATCATCTCGTACATCGTCATGTTTACTTAAAAATCACATAACCATGTTTGTTCTTACCACAATATACGTCCCAATAACGAAATTATCATTGGATGCAGTGGTCTGGGCTGCACCATTCTGGCCAGTGGCAAATCCTTACCTGCCAAATGTAGATAATCCGGATTTTGATTTAATGTTTGAAGGAAATGAGGCGTTACGTTATCCAAAAGATTTTTGTTATGTTACAAGTATGAGCAAGGATGGATTGAACTTTTCGCCTTTTATCATTGCCTTGGCATTATTAAATTTGGGTGCGATCAGTTTTTGGTTCCCAATTACGTTAAAGAAAATCGTGGATAGACAGATGGGAAGATTTGGTTTTACATCAAGCAAAGGAACGAAAGGAAAAGAAGCCATTGAAGATGAAGATAATTATCCCCACAAATTTTTATTTAATGGTAAGTGAGTTCTTGGTATTCATTTACTTTACCTAAGTTGAACATAATTTAATTTCTTTCATTTAATTATTTTTTAGGATATAATGATAATTGGGGAACTTATAAATCATTTATGATGGCGATGAAATTCTCTCTTATTTTCTTGGTGGTTGTCGTTTCCAAAGATAACTGTCTATTTAGATCCTCAACAACGCGACTTCAAATTTCCACCATCGCTCAAGTAATACAAATCTTATTCTTCGTGTTACTATTCATTTCACATTGGAAGGGTGAACCATTCCTCTATTCAAATTTTAATACCGCAGAATATTGGGCTAGATTTGCGTATCTGATGACAAGCGTTATCGGTCTTCTCATGATATTGAACATAGGACCTGTAGATGGATTAGGCATTGGATTAATTATAATTAATGTTACAATTGTGACAATCATTACTTGTTATTTAATGAAAAGGATTAATGATTTTAGTTTGAGATATATGGGAGGTGGTGGTGCATATGGTGTAAGTAGAAGTATAGGAGGAAATAGAGGAAGCCTTGGAAAAAAGAAATTAGAATTTTCATTGAATATTTCTTCACCGGATTTAGATTTTGATAGGTTGATAAAAGAAAGGATTTGGCAAGATACTTGGACAAAATTACTTTTAACTAATGAGAAATTCAAACCTCCGGCACTTTCTGCAGGAAAATCATTATTATTTAGTGAAGCGAGTTATCGAGCACCATATTTATTAAATTTCTTTGGAAGCGTAGGAGAGAGGCATATTGAAAACTGTAAAATAGTGTCGACAATAGGTTTACAAAGTTATGTCAAAGCCTTAGCACCTTTACCGTCGTCCATGGTCAACCTAAAATCAAAAATTTTGAATAATTATATTGGAGTTGATATGTACTATGCTGAGGAGTTTTTAGATGTTAGTAAGAAGACAGGTTTTGGAAAAGCCTATGTTGTACCTTTCCCATTTTGTGTCGTAATGTGTTATGATGAAGATGACAATATTCTAGTATTGAAGCAAGAATGGGAACTTCAGAGATACTTACAACAGAATGAGAGCAAAGAAATCCAACGAAGAAGGTTAGTTAGACAAATGCTTAGAGCTTTGGAAGGAAAGAATATCATTGGACCTTGTTATGAAAACGTAGATTATTTGAAAGAAAAGGTTGGTAATACTTTGTTTATATATGAAAATTTTGAAATAACGATTTACTAATTTTCAACTCTTTAAATATTTCTAATAGGTTCATTATCATCGAGGTATTCTGTCAATTCAAAGAAAGCATGGATCTCTTTGGAACGGTCATGATTTAAATCCAGGATTCAAAGTTACAATTACATATTCAGAACCTGGACCCAAAGAAAGTAAATGCCCTCATATAGTTACACAAGAAGTGATTGGTATAACCGAGGACTTTCAAATGACAAATCAACTTGAAAAATTATTCGGAGATAATTACAAATTAGTTGAAATGGGACTTGATCAGATTCAGACAACAATGAATGACTACCGACAATATTATCGAGATGAATCCAGATCAAAGGAAGAATCATTAACATATGGATTCCATATTAATATATTTAATAATCCTTCAATACCTTTGGAAGCACTTCCGTCAGTGTTACTCACCACAGAAGAAAATCAGCATGTTCAATCAATACCTGAACACGAATATCCAACAATAATTTATTTATATGAACGTATGAGAATAGTTCATACATCTCGAGTGCATCAGTGGTGGTATTTATTCTGGGAAGATTTATGGAACAAGAACGGAGAACTAATTCCATCTTTACAGAAATACGAACAAGATTTTTCACCATTATATCGAACGAGTATATGTTACCAACCAATGAAACGATTGGATTTAGAAGAATTCTTGGAGAAAAGAGGGTTATGGATAGGGAATGGAAAACTCGGACTATTTCATTCAGGCTTATTAAATAGAATTTATTTATATTTAAATAAGGTTGTTTATGAGACAAAAGATAAAGATGGAACACGTAAAAAATGGCGTATTTCAAAAGAAAAGAAAATACAAGATGATGATGATTCATCAAAAGGAAGAGGTCAAAGAAAGACTATTATTGGTAAAGTTGGTAGCGTTTTTATGGGAATAAATAGAAATTCGCAAAATACCAAAAGACCTTATTACGTCATGAAAGAAGAGGAAAATGATTCCGATCTGGAGGATATTGAAATTGATATTGATGATAACATTAGTGACAGTGCAACGTTATAATGATTTAATTTTTAATTTAATTTTTATATATATATATAAAAAAAAAAAAAAAAAAAAAAAAAAAAAAAAAGTAATATTGTAGATGTTTAGAAAATTTAGGAGGTAAAACAATTAATGATAGACTTTGGTCGAGAAAATGAAAATTTAATCTGAATATTTCTTTTATTGTATTTATTTTGTATTTGATATATATTTTTTTGTAACATGTCATGCTTTATTATTTATTAATATTTTAAATTAAAATTTTTTGGAATGTATTGAGTTTACTGTTATTACGCGTGTGTTTTATTTATATTATTTATAATTATTCGATCTGGTTTGTTAATATGAATTAAATTTGGATCATAATAATAATAATAAGGTGCAAAGACATTAGTCCCCCAAAACATCAAAGATCCTGGTCTTCGTACGTAAGATTCTCTTGAAGTTGGTTTGCTTATGTTAATGTTTCCGAATTATCTCTAATTTTAACCAAATTATTTATTTATTTTTTTACATAGACCTCTTTATAAATCCCTTAACAGTATATGATATTCGATGAAACTATTTTTAAAGATACACATAATCCGTCTCTTTATAAATACTATTAAATTCCATCACATTGACTTCCTTCTCCTTAATTTTATTCAATAATTGGGACTCTTCTTCATTCAATCTTGTTCCAATCATCCGAATCCCGAGCAATCTTAAATGATGATTACTCCTTTCAGCGTAATCCAAGACAGCCTTCAGATTATATAAATTAATATAATCATTTAAATTAATGGTGACCAAATACCCATGACAATTATCTAATAAGATCTTAAAATAAGAGGAATGAAAAAGGGTAATGCTATGAAAAGAGATTTCCTCAACACTTGAAGGCAAAGAATTTGCCAAACTTATGAACCAATCACCCATGTTATTATTATTTATAAAGATCTGTATATTTAGGATTTTGATATTAAGATTTTTTAGGTAAGGAAATATTGATATGTCAGTGTTTGTTTCAATTTTGATTTCTAAAGTAGATAGATTTAAACAATAATTCGATATAGTTTGAATGATTTGAATCGTTGTTTTGTCAGATACCAATAACCTTTGTAATGAAATACCTAAATATTTTATCATTGAAATGGTAATATTTGATTTCCAACTATTATATTGAAGGATTAACTCTTTAAGGTTGAATGAAGCAAATTTTAAAATTTCACAATTCTCCAATGAAATCTCTTTACAGCCATAAAATTTCAAATATTTTAAATTAGAAAGATCTATAAAGTCCTTAAAAGAAGCGTGTGAAAAGTTTGTGTACGAGAATTCGAAATAGGTCAAGGAAAATCTTTGAAATTCCAATGATAAAAAGATATCATCCAGTATGAAATCACAATGGGATAATTTGATTATGTTTAAATGTTGTTGTTGTTGAATGATGGAACAAAGCTTCCCCGCAAGTGTTTCTAAAGGGTAACTCTTGTATAATGAAAGTTCCAACTTCTTCAGGTTCAAACAATTATTCTCAATACTATTTAAAAATTCTAAGACCACCTCATTATTAATCTCATTAAAATTTTTTAGATTTAAGCAAGTTAATTTTAATAAATTTGAGGAGAAATTTTTAATAAATTGAATATTAAAATTCTCCTTTTCGAATTGAATCAATGAGATATTTAATTGTTTGATGTTAACACATTGATTCAACATTGATTGATGAAAGGTTGAAATGAAATTATCAAGCATCCCTTTACGTTGATAATCGATTAGGTTCAAATGACGGTTAAACCAATTAAATATGATCAAATTTATAATGGTATCATTATAAATCTCTATGTACTTTGTGTAATCGAATAATGGTTTATATTCTATATTAATCTTTATGTTTTGAACATTAATAAAATTTAATTGATTTCTTAATTGCACGATTTCTGCCTTGTTAAGGCATGTAATTAATGTCATGATTATTGAGTAATTGTGACGTTTATCTATGGTCTCAAAGGGACTCACGTAAAGTAATGGAACCGTCACTTTACACCAGAATCGGTTGACCAACAAACATTCGAACAACGTTGAGTGATTATTTTGTAGGTGCTTCAAAATGTAATAAATACAATCATCTGGTAAATGCGGTGTGGTCATTTTAAGAAAGGAAAGGAACAGAATTAATTTTTTTTTTTTTTTTTTTTTTTTCACGATGCTAAATTTATCATTTCCGGAGCAAATCGAGGGGTATTCCGTGTAAATCATCATCACCGGGACAATTTTTGCATGATTATGTTTACGGTTCTGATTGGGCAGGTTAAAACATCCGCTGACTGTTGTAAGAAATATGGTTGGCGATTACATTTAGAAGTGTATGTATTTTCATCTAGTAAATATTGAAAATATTAAATCATTACTAAAACATTCGTATTAATTTTTGATCATTCGATCGTACACACTATTAGTTGCTAATTCGTCGCCTATATCCTTTTATTGCTTATTTGACTTTAGTAGGTAAAATTGATCAAATTTACGTGGTGAGTTCTAGAATCGACTCAGCCAGTCGTTAAATCTTACCCGGTGACTAAGTCATGACTCAGGTAAGATAATTGCTCGATTATTTTAACGGATTGAAAGAAGGTTACGTAATCTCTCGGATAGAGATGATTCCATAATGTTATTACAACTTGAATGAATCATTTACTTGCGCGAACATACATGTAACTTTCAGAGAATTAGCAATCATTAACTTATAAAAATAAAGCAGAATCAACAGCTTATGACTTATAAATTTAGTTTATTCCGGAAAAACAATTCTAATAAGCTGATGTTCAAGAAAATAAATAGCTTGTTGAGAAAGGCTTCAGTACCATCTTCATCACCAGTTCCACCATTATTCTAATCCTGCAGATCCGCATAATTTTTTTCGATTATTATTAACCTACTCTACTCTAGAAAATAATTATTTTTTTTTTTTATTTTTTTTTTAAAAAAAATAAAGATGAGCTTGTCGAACTTTTCAACCAAAATTATTGTAAATTCCGATAAATAAAAAAATATATATTGA